GCTTTCCGTTGAAAACCGTCGGCGACCACCAGGTACCTGCCGCCCAGCAGTGGGTGCTGGAGGGCTTTCTGCAACCGATCGCACTGCGCTCGCTGCCGCCACCCACAGCCCCTTTCCGTTAGATGGAGTAATTTTTCCTGTTTGTCTGCGGATTCTCTTATAAATTCTGCCATTCATAACAAAAGAAGCGGACTTATTTTTATAAATTACTCGGCAGTATTTACAAAAGATGACCCTGATACTGTCATATTCTAACTCCTCTACGATTTGTAATGCCATTTTCTTGAAACGCTTAATATAATATTTTCACTCGTTCTATTTCCTTTATTCAAAGGCGATTTTTAGACAAATTAAGCTAAACGCCACCAATCATTTATTGTCTTCAATACATCCCCCTCTGTAATTGTTATGACCCTTACAAAATACACATAAAGATCTAATTTCGACTGGGGCCGGTAAAGTCATGTTAACGGTGGCGTGCGCCTAAAGCCCGCTGGCACAGATTAACAAAAGAATTTGAGTTGTCCCGCAAAGTGACAGAGGGGTTTTGAAATAACCTCATCAACGGGAACATACGGGTTCTTCGTGAATCACGTTCATGTTGGAATGTAGTGCAACCTCGAATGTCTCGAATCAATAAAAAATCTGAATTCTCAAACATTTATTTCGACATAAGATTTTACTAGTTACCTCGTTTAGAGAGAATAAAAGTGGAAGGAAAATGGGAAACATTTCATCAAATCAAGGAATTCATATTTCAACAATTTTCAAAAATTCAAGGATTCTTTCAAATACTGAGTACCCTTTGATGCTCCACATTGAAAATGCCCAAAAATACAGCCCACTCTGTGGTTTGGCAGTGGACAAGATTCCAAAGCTCGGGCATTACTTGACGCCCGCAACAATAACAAGGTTCGAGTAATGAGGCGGATCCAGCTGATCATTGGAGAAGGGAGGGCATAGTATATTTTTGTTAAATAATAAACATATTTGTTACATTGTATATTATTTTTGAGCTATATGATACTATACAAAATTACTACTGTGTTTTAAATGATTACATAATTCTAACATAAATAAACATTTAAATCAATTTAGCCAAATAAAAGAAGATAACAAACGAAAACTCTGGGGGGAGGGGCATGGTTCGTTGATATCGATAGGGATTATCAATTTTGGAGAAAATCGGCTGGACGGTTTAGGCGCTAGCGGTCACCACAGACGGGCGAACAGGCAGACAGACGTTTTGCCACCAATCGCTAATTCGAAAATCAAGGACCGATAAGTTAAGATCTGACTACACAAGTTAAGAGGAAGTAATTTACCATATCAAGGAACAAGATCTATTATTTCTGCAAGTAGGTTTATACAACGTGGTGGCTGAACACATAAGATTTATCCTCTGTATAGTTACCAGGGCCTGACAAGATTCTTTTCTGTCGAAAAATCGTCGTTATCCGGCACACAATTTCAATATGTCTTCTAAAGAAGGTAAGTGCGAAAAATGCAATAGGCTAAACCATGGGTAGAATTTCCACGAAAATTGATATTTCTCGATCAATCTGTTTGATGTCGTGGACCCTTGATATTTTTTCTCAGATGGCGAAAACTACGCTGATAACAATAGTGTAAGTCCTATTTTCGATAAACTCTCTGAATTTCCGAAAATTGCAAAGTTTATTTTTTGGGGGTCTTCCTACTACAACAGAATTGAAGATACACATTTCCATAATGAAATCTGTTCTTCATAATGGGATCTTTAATGAGTTCATGTACGATGTTTTCAGAATATGAGTATTTTCCCCGTAATTGTGCGTGAAATAAAGGCAATTCTAAAAAGATTTTTTCTGACTCATCTCAATTTTTTCTTTCTTGAACGCAGAGAAGTACGCTTCTAAAAATCGCAGAGCTCCGATTTTCGTTGAGCATTTCAGTTTTCGAATATTGCAAATGTTACAAATAATGCGAGACGGTAATGCTGTTGTTGCGGGACGAGTTCAGATATGTTTTGTGGTGATGCCAAATTCGGCGTAGGCGAGGGTTGAGGCTTATTCGTGTTTTTGCCCTCCCCTTTCCTGGGCAATGACCACAGTGTGGATTTGCCATTTTTTCCTACTGCTAGAGGTGACTACATGATCAGAGATAAATTACCATGGAAGGGATGATTATTTAAATTTCAATCAATAAAATATCAAGTCCCCTATTACGATATAGGACACGCCACTCGCAGTTTGAATAGGCCCATAAAATATGGTACATATTTTTATGTGCACCAAGTAAAGAAGTAGAGCCAAATATTTTAGGAATATGAGGCGTCAACGGTACAGTGTTCAGCACGATGAGATTAAAAATGTTCAGGACCGCATGAATTTCATGGGTAGAGCCCTAAAGTTCGACCAAATTCCTTTTTATTATCGATACGATTTTATGACTTTTAACAATAGTTCTCGCTTAATTGTACTTCTGGAGTTGTTAGTAAATTTTCATTTTGCCTTTTTTAGCTTCTGATGTGTTTTTGGCATTTTACCTTTTTCTTTATTATTTCCCGCCTCACACCAATCTCCATCGAAATGAAAACTTGTCTGCAAACCTAAACATGAAGGCACGGACGTGTATTCTCTTTGTGGACGCGAAGACTCCAGTCACAGTTGTGTTAAAAATCTAAAAGAGAAAGGAAGATGATATCAGTGATTTTTTATTTCCATTGATGCTGACAACTTCCTTGCTCACGAGAAATCGCATCCTATGTTTGTGTAAGACCTTGAATCCCTTTTTAAGACAGAGCTATCTGTAAATGGTCTACCCTTCTTGTTCTCTCTTCCCTTTTGATGATTACACAAATGCGAAGAACGGAATTTGTAATTCCGTTTTCACTGATACCACTTCAAAATTCCAAAGGAATTCCACAATAGAATGTTGTAGAACTGGCGTCACGAGTAAAATAAATTCGTAGTCGTCATACCGTATGGTCATGTGCATTCGCGATTACAAAGAAAAGGTAGTTTCCTTCCACATACGTGCTAATGTAAATTTCAGTTAGAATAAAACTGTGAATCATTTTAATTATATTGTTACAATAATTACTTTTTAATGGTGATTTTCCAATGTTTTGACACCCCTACTTTAGGGAGAATATATGCCTTTTTTCCATGCCTATTTTAGTAAAAATAGATGTATTTTTGCCTGCCTATTTTAAATACAATAAGAGCCAGATCTTCGGGGCTCTACTCATGTACTATAAAATGATAAAGAATCATCAGCTGTCAACGAATGAAATGGCTTTGTGCAGAGTTTTGTATTCAGCATTATATTTTATATATTTTGTACGTGAAATAAAATATCTGGGAAGTATTCATAATTATTGTTTAAATTGTATTCCCTCATTCAATTTTACTTCGCAGCACCCATAGAAACATCAGGATCTTAGTGAGTCAAGTCTTAGCTGGCTGCAGATTTTTTACCCATTTGCTCGCTCGTAAAAGCAATTAAACGCTCACTACCACAGTTTCCCCGATAGTTCCAAGTGGATTGATTATATTGTTACCGGGCGCATCATCTGCTATGGTCATTAGTCCCTTGTACAGGACATATTCTATCCAGGGAGGTGGCGGTGTTCCCCTCCAGCTGGGACGAGAGATCCGGCGCCCACCAATCCATAGGCTTGCGGATTTCTTTCTGAGGCGGGGCACCGGTATTGGCTGATTTTAGGTACAAGTGCAGCGGAATATATTTCTATTTTAAGGTTTTAACGCCCTTTTCGGTGCCTATTTTTTAAAAAAATTAGTGCCTTATTAGGCGCCTAAAACGAAAGTTTTTAGTGCCATATCATCCGATGTCTACTCATTAGTGAAAGTTCTGCTCCGGTATTCACCTAGTAATGACAGGAGAAACCATGAAACCAACTGATCAGAACTGCCAGCCGCTAGAATTCTCCAGACAGTGGTTAAATTGGGCACAGCCAGAATCGAAAATTTGCCATCGGAACTCGAACCCCCACGCCGACGCAGCGGACAACGGTGTTGGCGCTGAACTACCCCCAGCCGAAGCATGTCCTATGGGGCCGTCCATATATTTATTACTCGTAACATGAAAGGGGAAATGTGGTTTCAGGAAGTTAAAAGAATCCAAGCAAGAAAATAAAATGAAAGCTATGTTCTTGTAATTGCAGCTGATAGATCTGTCCACTCCATGGAAGGTTTTTGTCCACTACATATGTACGTAAGTTATGAATAAAATATAGTATTCTCTATTATAAAATTTAATATACACAAAATGATTAATACAATTGTAATTACTACCATATAATTATTTTTAATAGAAGAGTTGATGCAGGTGTTACACATTTTAATTGGGAGGAGTTCAAGCTCACAAGTGCATCCCTTCACTCTACAAATAATTTTTCCCTTATATCAAAAGGTATTCAAATCCTCAATGACTTCACAAGCATCACTGTGAGAAAAAAAATCGAAATTTTTACTGGCTAGTAAAAAATGGAATTATTGCAAAAGCTTTGTGAAAATAAAATTTTAATTAATGAAAACTTACCTTAATTTCCATAATACATCTATCCCTCATGCAGAACTGCATTTTACAAACTATTATTCACATATTTTTAATATTAGTAGCATGATGAAACATTGCATATTTTCGTAAAAAGTCATTCAAAATTGGTATTTTGGAGAGGGGGGTTGGCCACTCCATCAGGGAAGCGAAGGGGTTTATATAAAGAGGTAAAAGACTCACAAATTTTATGATTGAAAATGTTTAAAAAAAAAAAGACTTTGTCCTCATTTATTGAACCCACAAAAGATCCAGTGCTGTACTGTAATTGTCAGTTAGCAAGGTATTTTTGAAAGCCTTTTAAAAGTAAAATTACTATCAGATTTTATCAAAGTTTAATCTTTACTAAATTAATTACTGAAGTTCCTAAAGATTTCAAGATGACATCAAAGCACAGCATAGAGTAACACCAATATATGAAAAGAGGTATTAATAGTGGAGTGAGGACAACAGGAATTCACAGAAATTTCTCCGTATTTATTTAAATAATCTGTATTTTTTGCATCAATTTTCAAGATGGCACATGGAGTAGACAATCACATAACTAATACATAATATGAAATGATATAGAACATATGACCTTTCTCAGGCCCATACATACATGTTAAAGATATGATTAACCCATTATGCCACTCCTAATTATCTTTAGCAATAGTATGTACTTTCAATGACTGTCTCTAATAGCAAATTATTCATACAAACAGTAACATTTCAATTCCACGAGTATCTAATAACACAAAAAACTATTTGCTCCTGTATCTACTTAAACAAACCATATAGTCCTAAATTCCTATGCAGCTCATGATGCTTTGATCCGGGAAACTTTTGCAAAATCAACTCCCACTATTCAAAACACCCTCTTATCAAATATCATGCACCCACAGCTTCATAAGATTCCCAGGAAATGTTTTGGAATGGAATCACGGATCTCAACAGAAAATAAATGCAAAGAACATGAAATCCCCAAAACACACTAAACATAGGTTTAAAAAAAATTTAGAAAAAGAGGGGGGCGGGGCAGAAAATGGAATTAGTACGTACCACAATAAATTTCACGAATGTCTACATGTACATTTGGCCATGGGAAATAGAAGCAACCAAGGTAAATTGTGGACACTGGTTGCTCCTGCAGTTTAATTTACATACTTTAAGCAAAGATATCAAAAATTCCATTTGTACATTAAATTGGTGTAACTACAGATCCATACCTTTTACTTAAACATTTATTTTAGGTCAATGACCCTAAAAAAATTGACGCAATGAATTGCACAAGTAAAATATACCTGGAAGTCTTATTTCATGAGCAAGTGAAAATAAACAACTCTTCGACTACTCCTGGAAGTTCGTATTGGTTATGAAACAAAAATAGGTTGCCTCCTTCAGTAATCCACATCATATTAACAAGTTGTGCATTTTCAAGTTCTTCTCCTCATAACTTTCTAATCAAAATTGTATGCTTTATTCTCACCAGGTTCTCCTGCCAGTACTCATGTTAAAGTGTGCAAATGAAAGTAACTCCAAAATTCATTAATGAGTGTAACCCAATGGATCCACCATGAAAATGAATCCCTTATTTAAATGAAAAACAAACATTTTAAATTTGTTGAGTTTTACCTTCCAAGTATTTCTTTTGGTCCCTAAGTTCATATCATAGAGTTCTTCATAAGGACATCAATTCAATATGTAACTTCACAAATAAAAATTATGTCCCAAACATGAAACAAAACCTATCAATATAGCTAGGAAATCAAGCTTCAACAGCCAGACGTTCAATTAATTTTATCAACATTGAGCAATTGCAGTTGGAAGATTTACTTCGGTTGCAACAAAAAAAAAGCATTTTGCTAAATAATTAATGTAATTGACTGAAATTCTCATGCATTTTCTACATAAAATGGGGCAATACTTCATGAATTGGGAAACGCACTAATGACCAGTGTATAGAAATTACAAGGGCAAAAACCAAGGATGTCACTTCTCGTTTCTGAAAGGTTTTCCCTGAGTAATCGCAAAATATTTTCAGCTTCAAAATAAATGCCACTATCTCACCTCTGAATTTGGCATCTTAAATCATTATGCACGATTGTTGTTTAATAACTAAGCAAGTTTAAAGTTTTAAGATATGTATAGAAACATTTTCAAATTTTTACATTTTGAATATTAGCTGGGTCATAATTTATCATACATTTGAAATAATTACATTACAAATCTGTTATCTTTCACGTTTTCATTTCAAATCAGACTTGTTAACTGCCTCCATTAATATACCATAGTCATAGGATTTCACAATGTAGCAACTTAGTCACGTTCCTAAACAATTTCATTGTAACAACCAGGCTAATAAGTTCATTAAACACTAGGAGTTCAACTTTTCAAAAATATTATGTCAATCAACAAGAGTGGCAAATTTAGATGAAATTTAAACCAACTAAAGCAGACTAACAAAAATTGTACAAAATACAACCTTCTGTCTAAAAGGGGTTATGCTTTGTCACTTTTCAACAACTTGTGTATCACAAATCTACAGAACTTCCATCCACTTCAATGCCTATTTAAAACTTCTGTATATTCTAGATTAGAAAGGAAAAGTACAAAATTTAAAAAGCATCCTGTTCACAGAACTAATTTTTCCAAGCTAGAAACAATTCTAGCACTTCACTTACAAATACACGAGTCCTAAAGAGTCTTGCGCAGTCTAAATATCCTCCCACTGATTATCCCCAAACAGATGAAAGTTAGTTAGAAAGTAACTAATATACTTACCAACCCCAACAAATAATCAGCATTATCCTTTCCTCGTGGAATCCCCACAGTTCAACTAATTTGAAGTCCTTCCTACAAATTATTGTTTCTTCTCTGTTTATTGAAACATACACAAGTACTAATTTCAGAAAAATCTCTCCCAGGTTTAGTGTTTACAGGAAACAAAAGTCCCACCAATAGAAGAAAAAAAAAACAAAATATACTAAGAAAATTCGATTTATTTATTACAGAAGGTTACAATGAATGATGGTGATAAACTCAATCAGGATATGGAAGACCAAGTCAAAATAAAATGTATAAAGGCAAACCTAATTTTCATGTCAATTCGTAGGATCCAAATTACGATTAAAATACATTTGACTGTGACTATGCTGAAATGGGCAGAAACTTAATATGGATATTAAGAAAGGTTGCATTGTTGCATAGTCTGCGTCATGAACACAGTATTCACTTGTTCTCATCCCATCCCTGAAGAGTTTGAATAGAGTGGAGTATTAACTTACACATCTGACGCACCCTTTCCTTCTTTTTAACATTTCATTCGTTATCATTCATGATTGTCTTTATGACTAAGAAGCAAGTTTCCTAGACTAATGATTATGCATTTTTCGAGATTAAAACTGAAGGAAAAAAAAAGCTTAAGATGTCTCCAAGTGTTTGCCACCGCTGCCACCAGAGCGTTGTCTGCAGTTCTTGCTTTTCAACAACAGCGACACGACGCACACGATCGTATGGACTTTTGGTACGCCTAGAATCGGCGGGCCAGCGACATGTCACGATCGAGAGGAGATGGCGCTGGGTAGCTACGGCACAACAAGAAGATGCAAGTTGTTACAGGTGAGCATCACAGACAGTTTTGACGCTCCATGGTCCCCACACAAAGTTTGCGCTAGCTGGAGACACTGCACTTTTCGCGCGCACACGCTCATACCATACTGATTCACCAGCCCATTTCGACGCCAGTATTCATACACCACCTGCGAAAGTTTTGTATGCTGTCAGAAAAGTTACAGAATGAATTCTGATTGACTCGCTCAACACTCGCAGTGCACAATTATACCAAACCAGGTCTGAAATTCCATTATGCTAAGTAAAGCCTGGCAACAAGGCTCAAACGTATGAGCACTGTCCTGTCAGGCCTAACGCTACCACCACAATACCAGATTACAGCACACGGACAGACTGCTCAGCACCATCAGCACACGCCACAACGCATTTTTTAGCATGTCACCAGCCACTAGTCTGAGAATGAAAGAACAGGGGGTATTCAAGAGTCTTACCGTCGCACCGGTGGACCAAAAGGCTCCATGTTTTCCCTGTCATACCTGAAATAGAAGGTATTTGGTTATACAATAATAAAAATACAATCTTAAAATCACGATTACACCAATATTATTCCGAGTATGAATATCATGCAGCAAAATGAAATTTAAACAGGCCCAAAGGCATAGTTATCAAGAGACAAGGAGAGAATACTTCTTCCATTACTATTGATCATTAAAAACAATCTGACAGATCAGCAAAAAAAAGCTTCCGAAGTGACTCAACATCCCTTCACCTGCTTCCAAAAAATTGCACAAGAGACCCACGATGTACTGGATTGAACTCCAAATGAAACTTTATGAAAATTTAGCTCAACAAACCTTTTTGCAAGGAACACTGCATAAACTTTTGTGCATAGACAATGTTTAACTAATAAACAGGACAACAATCCACATACAACACATGACGGTATTCCTCCAACTGGATACCCATCCTAACATTTACGAAAGTCCATCTACCAAACAAGTCAAACAGCCCAGAACCACCTACAACCTGATCCCCAATAAAGATTCTCTGCAACTTAATGTTAGACTTACACAAGTTCTACAATTTGAAAGAAAATTGTAAATAACAGACAAAAAGAAAATAATTCTTGTATTGAAGATTTCATGATTTCAAATAACATTTGCGGCTGACAAATACTATACAGAAAATCTCCTACACAAGAGAAAAACACCATATTGCAACAAATGCATTTAGATGTAAGCAAGTCAAAAATTCTCAAACATGTAAGAATGAATATTAAGCTACAACATAAATTGAAGAACAAAGTAATTTGAGTTTCCAAACATTGGTGGGGTATGCAAAAATCTTCCATGAAAAGAAATTATTTAACGAGTTCAAACCAAGATTATTCTCCATTCAATTATCCAAGGAATTGAAACCCTGATTACATTCCTGCTATTGGATACAAGGTAATAATTTAATATGATACAGTTTAGGAATATTATAGGTTTGTAACATTTATGGTCATGTAGAACAAATCTCTAATTCGCTCTTCTCTAGGCAAGGGTAAGGTTGTGATTGAATAAATGGAAAATCATTGTCTACAGAAATCTCTCTGTAGACTGATGTTGCTGAATAAATTGTCCATCTGATTTACCACTTCCTCATTTATGCCAATGCCAAAACAAGCAATTAAAAAATATTGAAGACTAGGAACCTGAACTTTCACATCTAATCACACCCCAATGGTGAAATTATTTTATACCACAACCATATGCCAAAACAAAGTCTAAATTTCAAATCTTACTTCACTACTTTACTCACTAAAAATGCTCAATTTTTTCCTACAGACAAAATTACATTCCCAGGAGTAATTTTGACCTTCCCCACAGCAATATATACTTTATGCATTTTCTATTATGCCAGTAACAGACTCCATCCAATGAACACTATTGCATTCAAATTTACCCAATGGATTCAAAGCCACCGGAGTTCCATTTTTAGATTTTGATTAATCCTAACAATACAAAAAAATTCTCAAAAGTTGAATTAATTATAACTATACACGAAACTTCAATCCTTTCATACCAACTTAGCTTACATTCAAGTGAAGTTTTCAATCTGCAAACCAAGAACCTATTCCAAAGCACAGGCAATAAAACATGCAAAGCTTGATAGTAATGAATGTCCTTGTTTCACACATCGATATTATTTTTAGTAACAAACTTGCAGCATTTACAATTTGAAAAACATGTTTACAATTCAGTTTGCCTATTACAAGTTTAAAATCTTAATTGCAAAGGACAGAAACCCATTAAGTTGATTCAGAAATTGCAAAAAGGAGCAACAAAAGTATAATCAAGATTTCACCATTAAAGTTATAGATTCATGCAGCAACATATTATGGAAGTTAGTAACTATAAACTAAAGGAAGCTGCAAATGGTTAATAGAAATGTTAGTTGCTTACAAAAGAGGCAGATCTGAATCAACTTTTTAGGTATACAGCACTAAGAAAGACTCAACATTTAACCACATTTGTACAAAATTTTGATTTAATGTATTCAAAGGTACATTCGAATACATAGCAAAATAAATATAAAGGTTACCACAGAACTAAAAATTGCATTATGGAGAATGAGATTTTATAGTATCTGTATTTACTCGTGCATCATGAGAAAACATTAGCCAAGACCATGTCTAGAAGAGTTTGGTTTAACCACAAGTGTAAAAAAATACAAGTTAATAATTAAATTTCCAAAGAAACCTTTCAAATCTGAGCACAAAAATTACTTTTTGAAATTCGTACTGCATGTACTTTAAATATGCAATACACTTTTGAACAATTTAATGGATTTTTATCAAGAAAAACTAATCCCCCCTCAAACTTGCATCTCTATACATGATAGTAAATGTACCTACCACATTGCTACACAGAATATGAATAATTTTGCTTGTTTACTCATGAAGGCAATATTTAATCATTTATAATAACTATTCCAGAATGAAATTAACCCTTAACTAATCACATTAAGTGGTCAAATGTAGTTTTTACACATTTCCAATGAAGTACTGCCGGTCATAACAGTAATGTTTTACCCAAATCATTCCATCCACTTCCTAAGAACAATGTCCATGTGGCAAGTATTGCAAATATTTGTTTAATTACCAATCATTAGGATTACGTCAGTAAAGAAGGACTAGAGGACCTAGATTTCGGAAGAAATCTAAGCCCTTTCCTCTTCCAATCTCTCTTCGTAGCATAATGCAGCTACTTCAAGTACTTTCACATCGAATAACAATATGACAGCATGCTATATTATTACAAATCTTTATCACTAGGCTACCTGACATTACAAATGCATAAATCATGCACGTTTCCAGCCTTACAAAGTTTACAAGTTCTTTTTCTAGTGAAGCTAATATTCCAATTAAATTACATGCCTACCCAAATGAATTTCATTGTGTCTAATTGGAATAATGAGAGTTGTTTGAAATCAAACTAATTGCAGTAAACAACCTCAAAATGTATAAACAGATGCAAGAAATACAATTCACACAAATGAGGGATATTTGTAATGCACTGTATTCTAGAATATCTAAAATGTTCCCCAATCAAATCATGCTAGATAGGAACAGAAAGCGGTACATAAAGTGAATTGTACATGCTCTTGAAGGGTTAAATTGCTACTCTACAGAATTTGTAAAGCCAGAAATGGCCTAATACACAGTGGCTGCTACAAGTTTATCACCAATATTTTACATGTCCCAAGCAATACTCACTGCATGATCATTTAGTTTAATTAATATATAATACAAATTTAAGTAATGGTTCCAATATACAAACCGAAGTTTACCACTGCACCATCTATTCCATCAACTTAGTGGCAACCTTCATTTTTTAAATCATGAATTTCCCATTAAACAAATCTCAAAGGAGCATACGCATGCCAAAATACAGTTCTCATTTTATACAAAATATTTTTTTATGGATGGAATATTGTCAGTCAATGCAGCAGAACATGGCACACGAGTAAATACAGTATATATGGCAAAATAACCTGCTTAAACAGTTATTCTTCCCGTAAAGAGGATTTTCCACATCCTCTATAAAATTTTATACTGCTACAAAACCAATAAATACAGTTTTATGCACTAGAGTCAACGCACTATCCTGCTTGATGAACAGGAATGTCCATGTCCAAGGCAATTTCCATTTAAAAATCAATACCTTTTTAATTTGTCAAAAATTAAAATTCGCAATAAAAAACTTCCAATAATTTATACTTAGAAAAGTGTTGTGTTCTCTTCTTTAATTAGTAGGATGTTTTATAGTTAGTAGTTATTTACAACAAAAGTAAAATAATCTAATCTACACTGCTAGTTATGCAAAAGGTTTAAACTGAATTCTGCATGCAAAACAGCATAATACACTTCATAAGTCGCACAATATTATAATGCTCTACTTCATTGTATTATATTTAATACATTTAAAAAAGAATTAACGCATAAATGTAAGCTGGAATTATCGATTATTGGTGGCACCACATTAAGCATAGGTACTAATTCACTAATTCCATTCAACAGTTATTCACACCCGATTTTCTTTTGTCTTCTCATTCTGCGGTAAACTTCCCATCAACGCAGTTCTTGCTATTATTACGCAATGTATCGCCCACTCCTTCGCTGTCGCATGGTGCCCCCTGAGCCCCTGATGTCTCGCTCATCCCCTGTTTCAACTGAAAAACAAATGGAAGATAATGGTGGCTTACAGGATTTTGTCAAGGACATTGAACAAGATCGTAGTAAAATGCCTCAGCAAAAAAAAACTGCAGCACATCTTCACAAAGAATCATCAATACAAATATAATCAAGGAACTTCATCCTAAAACCTTAAAGAATCTTGAAGCGAGTCCCATACTATAGCCCAAGAAATGTAGAACACTGCAAATGAACACAATCTACAGAGCCAAAAATCACAAAATAAGCTTTTCAGAAACAAAAGCAGCACACACTTCAGAAGCCTAAAAAAGAATTGACCCTAGAAATTTAATACTAGCATAACTTACCGGCGTGCAGGTGGTCCATACGGATCCATGTTCTCTCTTTCATAGCTGTAAATTACAAAATTGTAATGAACTGTACAGCATTACACAGATATCAACCATTTATCAAGCAAAGTAAATAAACATACCCAGCACCACCATAGCTTGAAGGTGGAGGAGGGGTTCTTCGGCGATAAATATCTGAAGAAATTCGAGATCCACTGTAATCGCTGCGACGCTCAAAAGACGCAACACCAGGCATGCTTGGTCTGTCATATGGACTGCGCCCGACTTCTGAGAAGGAACGACGTTCATACGGTGCCCTCATCATATCGGGATACGATCGCCTCTCAGGGTCCCTACTGAACGAAACAAGAACCTTAGCAAATTGCTAACGCTTTCCTCCCTTCCACTCCCTACAAAAAATGATGCAATTCATCCCTATGCCAAAGGATGTAAAAACAACAGCCAGGAATGATTAATTAGCAACAACACTGCTATCACGTAACTTCTTTCCTAGTGACAGTTGCAAGGTTTCCTGAAGACTGATGGTCAAGAAATATTACCTGTCTCTGGATGGCATAATTGGTGGAGGAGGTCCTCGAGACGGATAGTAATTGTCATAGCCACGATCATAGCTGTCGTAGTACCCATTACGCATGGAGGGAGGAGGAGGCATGCCAGGGCGTCTATCGTAATCCCCTCGACCATCTCTCATGTAAGGAGGAGCTCTACCCATCCCACCGCGCATGGTTCCACGTCCACGCATTGGACCAAATCCACCACGTGTGGCCCCACGACCACTCTTCTTGCCAGTCGATTGCTAAAACAGATTAGAAATTGAACATGTTAACATCAAACTCTAGCAATTTACAGTATACAGCAAGAGAAAAAGATCCATACCTCCACACTGATTTGTACTCCCATAAATTCAGCATTATTAAGCTCTTGGATCGCTCGAGCAGCCATTTCTTCAGTTTTCATGTGAACAAATCCATATCTGTTGAGTATATCACACTCTGTAACAACTCCATATTGTTCAAAAAGCCGCCTCAAATCTTGTGACTGGGCCTCTTCAGGAAGTCTCCCCACAAAGATCTTCGTTTTCTACAAAGTAGAAAAAAAGCAAACCTTTTACTAATCAGAAATAATCCCTTTTAAAGATGAAACTATTACAAACTTCCCCAGTTCTTGCTCCAAAATAAATTCCATGGGTAACTCCAAATTTATGCCAAAGAAAAAGAAAAAAAAAACCTGTTTTCCCATTACGATTGTTAAAGTATGTTAATCAAAATCTCCCGCAGATCAAAACAATCCAATACCAATTCCCATCGACTTGTTCCACAGGCGTAGAAGTTATCATATACAAAAGGATTTTGATTGTTAAAACATGACACAAATTTTGCAATCTCTCCATTAACCTCTATTTACTAATTGCAGAACTAGAAAAAGCATAATATTAAATGTGAATATCTCTAGTATTTAGGTGTTTGAAAAAACACTGTAAAGTACACTTGCATTTCAAGAAGTTCATGAATGGATATTTTTCATTGAAAAAATAATGCAAACATTAAAATTTAATTGAAAATGATTCCTCCCAGATGTTGTCATTCACTATTTCCCTAATAAAAACACTTGTGAATGTTTTAGTTCACTTTACTGGAAATAAGCTAGAAGCAGTCTTAATCAAATACCTTACTTTTGGATAAAAAACCTAAAATCACAATGGATTTCAGCAGCAAGGGAAAATTTTCCTTGTAACAATATTACATTTTCATGAAACTTTTGAAACATTTTTTTGAAAATGTATTATAAGGTCAGATAACTACCTACCCATTTAAGCATAATTTCTGGCACATTCATAACCTGCTCCTGGATGTAGTGACAAAAAAATCATGAACCCTTAATTATTTTTCTGATTTTGCCTCAGGAGTTATGATAACAATATGGTTCTGAATTTCACTAAAATAATGTATGCTAATTATTCCAATATGAAAAAATTCACTTTCATTTGCATGAACTTGACAAAAGATTCCAATATCCCATGTATTCGTAAAATTAAAAACCGGACAGGTACATTTGTAACTTGAATCTTTAGGCATCTTGGCAATTTTATTGCTGCATAGTACGTGTACGGAAACCCTACAGAAATCGACACCCCAGTTCAATACAGCACTCATTGAGCGCACATCCCATCATGGCGCGTCCGCTGTACCTGCATTTCCCGGGTCCAACCCAACCCAACACCTACACCCCCGTATAAACCACAGGAATCATGGGCTTCTTGGCGGGCGGACGCCGACGCCGGCATGAAAACCCGCGCGCGAGAAAGCGCGCCCACGAACCCACGAGCCGTGCGCGGGTGAACGCACGCTCGCGCGCCACCCCTTCCACCACCACCGGCTCTACAACACGCGCGTGCGCACGCGGCCGCGCTCGCGGAAACCCCGAGGCAACTACGCCGCGCAGCACCAACCTCCGCCGGATGAGAGACGCTCCTCTCGCTGGCTCCTCCATAATGCATCCGGGGAGTCGCCTTGCAGCTCTCCAGACGAAACAAATGAAATTCAAAATGCCGGCACGACCACCAAAATCTAGACAGCTTTTCATTTGGAACCTCCAGAAGAATGCGTATTCCGATTTTATACTAGTGGAGAAAAACAATTTTCCCCCAATTCACTAAAACCCCGCAAAATAAAATATTTCCAATAGACAAACTGAAAACATTCCAGTTTCAAACCAGAACTAACGTTTACTGTTATCCCCATCTGAAGATGGGAGCAGGAATCCTGCAATGCAGATCATTAAATGCGCTATTACCACCAAAAATTGTAGTGGCTCTCCAGAAATAGGTTTACCATTTTTTTTTTGTTTGTTTCGTATACACGCACGTGTCCTTTATTACAGCCTTTCGCCAAGGCCCACATCAATTTTGAATGGTCCAGACATGAAACTGAACTGCGCACGACGCCTGGGGGCATCTTTGCCATTTGCCTCCCAAGATGCCTCTGTGCAACTCTCGGCAAAATAAAACAAAAGACCGAAACATTGTGCCAACTTCTATAAGTAATTACATGCAAGCAGCATCCATATAATCAATGTATTTGATATTGCAAACAAAAAACGGGGAATGCCTCTAAACTAACGAGACAGTAAATGAAATACAATCCATTTCAAATATCAGTAAAGATTCTAGTCCACAACCCTACTAGAAAGTGAATATTTACAGATCCACTAGAAAGTTAATAATTACAGATACATCTCCAACAAAGATTTAAACACACCATGCACTCCTTTATTTGTCCTAAATTCCTGGTAAACAATTTAAGATAACGCTCAGTCCAAATATTAAATCTGAGCTGTTACTTAATCATAAATATCATAAATAAGTTCTTGTTTAGATTAGAAATTATCAGTCATTAATAAATGAAATGCTATCTTAATCAAAATCGTCTACTTTTGATTTTCAAACTCCCAAGTGGGTTAAATAATAAATTTGTTCCATTCCTCTACTCTATATTTATTTCCAACTATCTGGTTGATGTACCCATGCATAGTATTATTAAAGAAAGAAACAAACAAGAAACAACCCTACAAATAATTATAAAACGAAACGAATGTTAAATACTTACAGGGGGTGTACTGGAAGTGCGCAAATCTGAAAAATGAAACAAACGCTCAGGTTATTCAATCAGCCATTTCCAAAGCACATGGCATCACCACAAGAAGCCAGGCAACTCTCAGATAACGAACCACTAATCATTTTCTCGCACTTCACTCGCACAAAACGCGAAATTGTATATCATTAACATAGTAACAACAATACGTTTTTCCAATTACGGGTGAACAGTAAAGTTTTCTGAAATATGAAGCTTCCCGCCGGTATGATCTAGGATTGTATTAAAATAGCAAAAATTTCACGTGAAACGTACAAAATAAAGCATCGCGGCGATCCAATCTTATTTTGTACACGCAATATATTTCAAAGCGTTCTCGGAACTGAAAAATGTAACATACACCTAATAGGCGGGGAGCAAGCCGGTAAATACACGACGTTAAGATACATTTTCATCAAACCAATAACACAAATACACATACGCTCTCTTAATTCCGAGAATACACTCGCTTCACATTTATATCCACACTTACCGGTCGACATTTCGCTTTCTGATGCAGACCACAACCAAGTTTCACAGAACCCAGAACAATGCGCAACGAAATGGCGGTAGCGTCCCTAGCGAAGGCGCGAAACGGTCCGGCAAAACATGGACGAAAGACCGCTTTCCAAAGAGCAACCTGGGACGCCTGGAGCACAGTGGCAGCAGAGTAGGCACAGTGTGGTTGACTCTGGTTGATGCAACGCTGTTCTGCGAGACCCTAGTAACAGCACACCTGATTGGACAAAACTGAACACATCGTTCGTATATCGAAAGCAAAGTGTATCAATTTAACCAATCACATGTAATAATATCTGCAATATTTTTTCCTCTACATGGATTTGATCACAGTTTAAAATAACTAAAATATAGTTGGAAATTAAATTACGATTGTATATTCTGAAATAACTAAGAACTGTATTTAATTGCAAATTTACGAAGTGTGAGGCGCATTAATTTTTCAATTCACTGTTCAAAATAAAATGTTCTCGAGAATAAACAATAAATTATTAAGTAGCATTTTTTTGTTGTCCTTCAAAAGAACTAACGTACTGAAATGAATGTGAAAGTGCAGATCAAACTAAAATATATTTTGCTATTTCCACCATTCAAAATATTTTACAGCAATGTAAAGAGCTTTTAGAAATTGTAAACATTAAATATAAATGTTTTGTTTAATTATTCTGGAACATCTAAATCATTTCATGAAATATTACATTGCAAACTTTAATATATAAATGTTAATTAAAATATTTAATGTATTTTTTACTTAATTTCAATTTTTTAAAAAAAATTGTTTAGAAGTTAAAAAAAATAACATAATGCTCCTTTTCTTTCCAAATTAAATTATAATTGATAGTAAAATAAGATAAAAATTAAACAAATAAATAAATAAATGTTTATCATATTTTAACTAGCGTTTCAGAGCACACCTCAACTTGGTGTTATATTTGTTATTTACTCAATAATGAAGTCTTCTATTATGAAGATAGATGCTTGCAGAATAATTTAATATTTAGAATATTTTCTCTGAATTTAAACTATCAAATTCAAAACTAAATGAAGTCCCGGATCCATTAAATTTTTTTTTATTATAAATACGAATTTGTGAGCACCATCAATACATCAGGTGTAATATAAAAGTTACAAGCCTTGTTATTTCATAAGGACAAATATTATTAATGAAGACAATTATGAGTCATTTTCACCAGAAAATGATAGTATGGAGAAAAATACCAAGGAGGTTCAAGATTCAAGCAACCAATTTATGCAAGAGGTTCAATATGTCAATTATCTGTAGTTGGAACAGTATTACCAAAATGTGAAATATATCCCAAAATTAAAAACCCTGCTTGGTGGAAGATATTTGCCAAGTATCAAACTCACAAATAAATATCCTTTTCAGTTCAGTTTTCAAATCCATGAATAACTTGGCAGATGATATGGATATATGAATATGAAAATGATAATGATGCTAAATAGGCAGTAGTGTATCCAAGGGGGGAGGGGACTTTTGGGGCTTTAGCCCCTTCCCAATCTTCCTCATGGGACTTAAGCCCCCTTCTCAATGGGGCTTTAGACCTTCCTCCAACTCAATGATAGCTGTTACATACTAATTTTGTATTCTAATCTCTAGTCACTCAATGTATCAATTGTTTATATTATAAATATTAAGATAAGATATTATAAATATCAAAATATTAAATATTAATATAAGATGAGAACTAAAAATTCATTTTGTGTTCAGCTTATTTAAAATATTTATGAAAAATTCTTTGTAAGAAAACAATGTCAAGTGGACACAATACCTGTAGCCCCCACAGAGAAATATCGACTCAGTAAATGGGAGACATAGATAATATTGGTTAAAAGCATAATTAGTGTGTGTAAAGTAGTAAAATAAAAGGTATGTATATGGAAGAACACATTGAAATCTGTATCAAACAGTAATTCCATTCAGGCTGAGATGGCTCAGTGAAACCATCTCTTGGCTCTGTGCTACTAGCACAGGCGTGCGCACAGAAAGGGCCAGGGGTGCGTGCCCGAAATTATTTAAAGATTCCATGGCCTTATGTAATAAAACATTTTATTTCCGAAAATACGTTCAATCCCTGATTTCCCCCCATTAAGCTGACAACTTTAACATTGGCCTATCATTATATATCACAGATTGGCATTTCATATATCGTTTTAACAATTTTATGATATTCCAAATTGGTGGACACCGAGAGCGGCAGCGTTAAGGTGAAACCTTAGGCCCCGAACGTCCCCGGGAGGCCGATTCCAAAATTGCTAATGGTTTGATACGATTGTGCCCATTTTATAAATTTAGAGAGCATGACTGAATTTTTATAAATGGCAACAGTAAAACAAATAATTTTGGAGGTAATAAATCAGTAATAAATGAGTATTTAATGTTCCCATTGGTTTGATTTGGTTGTACCGTTGTGTTTGTGCCAGCTTCGCACACCTGCGAGAGTTGACTGTTCTCAGAACTAGAAACCTGTCCGACTTGGCACTTGTCAGTGAGTTAGATTGGTTGGTTGGTTGTTAGTGATTCCGGGCGCGTCAACTACTGAGGCCAATAGTCCGGTAAGTGTAGGGCATGCTTTTTTCCTTGGGAAATGGCTGTGATCCTTCCCCGCTGCATGGCGAGATCCGGCGCCGACCCACCGTCTAGCAAGGTTTCTCAGGTATCTCCCTCAGGCACCGCCTCAGCCAAGGACAAGCTCTAGGCTCTCGACCGGTCCCCCGGTGTGTGTGGTAGTGTAGTGCACGTTGGTGTGTAAGGGGTGAGGATAGGACAAGGAAGAGGAGGGAAAGATCCCGCCCGTTTGTTAGGGCGCTGCTCCGGCATTCACCTAGTGTTGATCGGAGAATTCTTCTCCAGACAGCGACTGAATTCGACCTAGCTGACCAGCTAGTGTTTTAAATGTTGCCTATGTCGTTACTCGACTCTAGGACCCCCTGGAAAGAGGCATTGCAGTGACATCAGTTGATGCACTGAGCCACCTCTCCCGGTGATAGTGAATTAGAGGGAGAGGGGGCACTGTTATCGAATTGAACTTCAATTTTTGGACGCGCATATTACACCGTCATATATTAAAGCTCCCGATTGAATGACGATCTCCGGTCTTCTTACTCAATAAGTGTTAAGTACATTTATAATAGAGCAATATCTTTCGTGCTGCCTGCAGGAGGTTTTGACCACACGACGTCAGCTGCTGTCGAGCAGACGCGCGGAGTGCTAATTGTTCTTGTATTAACTGCGCTTAAGCGACAATGGTCTTCGTTTCACTCGATAATTAGTCGATTCATGACCCCAGGCGAAAATGGTCAATTTGCACCCAGGAAAAGAGGAAGTCTTTTCAATTCTTCTATAAATAATGTTCTTATATATTTTTACTCATTGAAAATGATTATTCAAGTGATACTAATACTTAACATGTGTATATTTTTATAAATATTTTTAAAATTTCATAATTGTGACAATTTAACAAACGTCTCGTGATATCGGTATGAAATAAAGTAGCTGGAACAGTTGAAAACTCTGCATTTTTTTTTAAAGTGATAATCACGTCTTTGTAGAACGCAACTTCGAATGGCCAGATTCTCATCTGGGCTTTGAAGAATTATAGGACCGTACTATGTGAGAGAACTCATTCTAATATTGCTAAGCGCTGAGACTAAATTACTAAGAAAATCAAACAGTCCCTTTAATTTTATCGTGAAAGATTATTTCTGCCTTTTCCTTCACTTTAATTTTATTTAAATTTCGGGTCTTAGTGCTTTTCTGACTACCTGTGTTATGAAGTGGGAGCACTCAAAAGAACTATATCTAATAGAAATAGAAAGCTCAAAATGATCTCGTTTTGTAGAATACTGCTAAAGAAACAATTAGAGCTCCGGCGATCCTCCACATGTCCCCCTCCGTCCCCACTATTTATTTCACAGGGCCTTCCAACATTTCTTCACATATATCCACATGTACTACAAAAACCTGTGCCCCCACCGGTTCCCACATTTCTCGCACCTCCGCCCCGCAAACTCGTGTCCATACACAATTCAGATGTCCCCACAAAACCTGTGTTACTTTGGGGAGGGGCGAATGGAGTAATGGGCCTAGGGCGCATCGTTTCTGAGCTATGCGCGATGCATGTTGCAGTAATTTGTTTTTTATGTAGTATTCCATTTTTCAACTTTGTTTTTAATAGTCAATTTACTACTACATTACAATATAATTTCTTATATAATTTAATATTTTAATGAATATTGGATCTTTAAAACATTTCATGTACATAATTTTCAAAACATTACCAGTTATCGCGTACTTTCGAATTTAATGGTGAAAAAGTTTAAATATTTTTCGAATCTGTCTTACGCTTCTAATATTGAAGTTAGAGATTTCGTTCTAATGTATTCAGTATGTTATAGCATTAGTGTCATAACGACTCCATTATAACAATTCTTTTTTCGATAAAAAAAGATCGGCAATGTTTGAAACAAACGTGCAATGTTACCAAATACTACAGAGATCTCTATAGTATTTGATGTTATTGTCTTAACTAAGTTATTGTCTGTCTAATTTGACAGTAATGTCAAATAATATGGTAAATGAAAATAAAATAAATAAGGCTTTGTAATAGATGTAAATAAAAGTTTAAATGATACCCTTTGATGTAAAAATTTTCATGTGAGAAAACCAGTTTCCTTAAATATGGAACAGGAATCACAATAATATTTAAATTATATAATACACTTTTCTTCGGAATTCTTTGTGCAACTTACGTAGTATACGAGGCATTTTGATTTATTAGGATACTCAAATCGTAGAAGAGAGACAATAACTCTTAAAGGAAAACACATGTATTATTTATTTATTGGAGTTTATCGGCCCTTCAACTGCTGAGGTCATTAATGTCCAGGAGTGATGATCTAATAAGTAGAAGATATTTATAACGATGATGAGGTGAATAATGAAGACTAAAAAGAAAAACAAAGAAAATACTTATACAAAAAGCCTCCATTCCGCCACTGAACACAAACATAGGGAAGTGTTCAAACCAAAACAGAAAGCGGAAGAACTAGCCATTTTTTTCGCTGCGACTTTCACAACAAATTCAACAAAATCGCATCCTCAAACATAACAAATACTAAATTAAATGACATAACAATGTATGCTCCCCAACTAAGATTGAATATACATCCCGAAAGAAATTAAAGCTATTTTAAAAGCATTGCCTATAAAAAAAAGCCCCCTGTGACGATAACATTAATAACAATTCCAACGCAATTCCTACTGAACAATTCGGATTTACAGAATACATCGCCACCCACTTCTAATTACTTCGCATGTCAAAACACATCTACACCGCCTTTCAGTAGAAATATCATGATAAAGCCATCTTCGAAATGTTGCCCAAGCATTCGACCGGATCCGGCACATGGCATTAACCCATAAACTCAAAGAAATAGGCACACCTTTCCGGTCACGGTGAGTAACCATCAATCAAATCACCAAATTGTCAAAGCAGTATTACCATATGGGTCACCGCTTTCGCCAACGTTATTGAATCCAGAGAGCATATTCAACCTGTACGTGGCACACGTACCGTATCTCAACACTATAAAAGTAGGGCAGTTTGTCGATGATACTGCAATCTATGCATTTGGCCATTCACTAGAACAGACTTTTCAATCTTTCGAAAATGTGAGTGTTTTTGCGTCAAAATATATTTTTTTTAATTTTAAACAATTCTTTTTTCAGAAACGGCTTCAAATTTTTTTAAAAATATTTTCACGCACGTAGCAAAGAACGATAAAGAATATGGTACTGGTCTCGTTTTCGGCGCACGGTCTGTTTGTTTATAAATTAAAAAATAATCGAAATGGTAAATTCTAATTTCCCGTGCTCTGAGACGGTGTATACAGATAGCTCTTTCATTTGCAAGCAGATAAATATCAGACACATGACTATTATTTATGTAAAATGGGAAATGATAATACTGTAGCGTCACGGCTTGGCAGCAGCCGAGTGCAAGGTAGAGGGCTGAGGGATCTAAAGATAGAACAAAGAAGGGACCTTCCGACAGGAAATGGTTCGCGGGCCAGGCAGCGCCAGGGAAAGGCTTTCCACCGCGCGGGGGTGGGGAGTAGTGACGTAGGAGGTCAGGTGACTTGGACCTATAAAGACGCCGTGGCGAGACGGCGCGAGTGGGTAACGTTTCGGTTTCCTCGTGGCTAGACCACAAAAACTTTGTTCGCCCAGGCTGGTGCGGAGTGCCGAGGGCACGTGGTTGTTCGACGAGTTCGGACAGGGTGATGTGTTCTTCAAACACATTCGGGCAGATCGTCAATCTGCCGGGGCACACCAGGTGCCAATCTACGACGCGGCCTTGCAGGCTGGTCGTAGGCGTCGCCGCAAGGCGCATGTAGGGAGAGGAGGGCTGCAGTGGTAGCTCTGGCAAACCACCTTAGAGTGAGGGTTGTAAATATGTACAGTGTGTAAATAAAACTTGTATATACTCACTCGTGTCTGTTTCCTTGTGGTGTAGATCCCTACACACGACGTTACAATACAATGATATAATTATACGTCAGATACACCTCTCAATAAAATACACAGATATTTAAATAAATATTGTCATTTTTTGAACTACTATTAATAATATTATATACATAAGTGCTCAAATTAAAATTCCTCATTGCTTCTAAAAAAAGAAATTATACAGTACTGCTTTATTATATTACTGCTTTCCGGGGCATATATAACTTAAATTTCTGTTTGAAGACATTACATAAGAGACTAATTATGGATTTGTTTGGTTGTAAGTCTTCATTTAAAAGAATATGAAAAATTTAAGAATGAACGTAGAATACTCTTGGAGACACGGCGATAAATAAACAGAAGTAATAGTGAAAAATTAACGCCTTATAAAAACTTTCATAAAAGCTACGACAATTAACACTGAAAAACAGTTCCATTCCTGACAAGAATGGAGTTTTTAGCAAGAATAGATAATAAAAGATGTGCCAATTGTTGCCATCACCCATTGAGATGGGTCGATATGGACAGAAATTGCGGTATAATAATATTAGATAAGGGTTACTAAGGGCGAAAAAATATGTGCTGTTTTTAGCATTAGTTTTACAAAGAAAAACACGTGTGGTTCTCTGACACCAAAATCTATATTTCTCTTGCTCTTATATTACTATCTTGAATACATAGTGTAGTCAAAATCACTGGCGCTTAGACGGGCAGGGGGGGAACTTGTCCCAGCACCCCACTTCATGGAAGCCCTGCAATTTTTTCATTGAAAACATTAAAAAAGTATTTACTTCTAATTCTAATTAAACCCTAAAATGCTTGTTTCACACGAACAAATATTTCATTAAACGAGTGTATCAACTTTTTAATAATTTGTTATAAGTAAAATGATTAAAATATAATAATATTTAAGAAAAACAATGCGTAACTGTATATATATATATATATATATATATATATATATATACATACATACATACATACATACATACATACACTGGAGGAAAAACAGTATTGCAATACCGGGAAGGGCACGAGCACTCAAGTAGGTGATAAGGGGCGGGCGGTGGGGATGGCGGTCGTAGAAGCTGCGATTAAGGGCCAGTGAGTATGGGTAGACGTGCATACTCATAGCTGTAGACCCACTTCGAGGGGACTGCGGGGCCCTGACGAACGTCAAGATCGACGCATCGTGAGGGCGGCGTTGGCAGGCCGTACGGCCACCCGCGCCGAGATATAGACACGTGTGGCCCCCAATGTGTCTCCATGCACCATTGGGGGCCGGCTACTTGCTGCAGGATTACAACCGCGCATACCGCTAGACCGACTGCCACCCACGACGAACCATCGTAGGGCACGTCTGGCTTGGTGCAATTCGAATGTACGGGTCATCTGGGAGAGGGAATGGCTGTAGAGGTGTTCAGTGATGAGTGCCGCTTCTGCCTGCACGCCAGTGATGGTTGTGTGCGTGTGGGCGTCGCTCAGGCGAGTGCGTGCGTCCGGAGTGTGTTCGTCTACTTCACGTAGGGCCCGCCCCCGGAGTGATGGTGTGGGGGTGCCATCAGCTACAACGTGCGATCGTCATTGGTGTTCATAGAGAGAGCATTAACCCTTAAGTGGTCGCACTCAAAATTGGAACGGGAATGATTGCGTGGTTTACAATTATGGTCAATTTCTAAAAAGTTATTATTAACATTTTACGAACAAATCGTTTTTATTCAACTACGGACGAGAAATGGTATCTAAAACATTGGCCTGTTACAAAATGTCATTAAATTTAATAGAACGTTGATATATTACTAATTCTATCATATGCTACACAAAATTACATGTGTTATCCCTGTAAAGTAATATACTTCTATGTATTCGAGATGGACTTTGCATTACGATTATTATATAAAGCAGTTTGATAGAATTGTTTAAAGATCTGGATCTATTCTGAACGTGTTTCAATGTCAACATCAGATGAACATCTCACACAAATATTCTAAATGGGTTCTGGGCACACCAATAGACACAATTGACGCACTACTGACGACAGCTCTCGCGACATTGACGTCCACAGATAACGTCTCACGTTGCTCTTTGGTGACTCCGTTGACCATTTGGTCCCTTCTCGGATTACCAGTAGAAGTTCGCTGCATGTCCTTATTGCTGCCGGCAAAATTTTTCTCTCGGTTCTCCTTTTCATTTCTCGTTTCAGAAGGGAGAAAGCGATATCCTTTACAAATCCCGTTCTAGTAAACTTTTCTCAACAACGTCTTTGGATAGACAATCAAGGTATTAATTGCAGCGATATTTCATGATGTCAGAATAGAACAGAAACAGAACCGCGAATGGTCGCGCGAACTACTATTGTAATCAGAGCTGTTTCTTGTTCTTATTGGTTGTGCAGCAGTTATCTCTTGAGTAATATTTTGCTACAATTCAATAGCTGGGGCCTTCTACGAAGGGTACCGAAAAGTCCATGCCAAAAGTTTGTCGACTCTTGTTGTAAAAAGTGACTGCGTAATCCTGGATTACAATGGTAATCCACGCAACCACTGAAGGGTTAAACAGCGCTGGATACGTCCAGTACGTTGTGCG